GAGTAATCTTTATTTTCAAGAATTACCGTTATCAGAACAGTAAATTTAAACAACATGGAATAGAGTGTAAAAAATTAAGGTGAAATATGGCAGCAGAGAAGCAGTAATGTTAATTTAGAAGTTGCAATCAGTCATCGGCAGTACCAAAATATTGCCTACAGTAATTTGGTCGTTGTACTAGATAATGGATAAACCAATAAATGGAAATGTTTGCTTATCAGTTTCTTTGAACAAATAAATTTTTTACAAAGTTGAGAACTATATAAGCCTTATTTATTTGTTTATTTATTTATTTATTATTTATTATTTATTATTCATTAATTCATTTATTCATCTCTTTATTCATTTCATTCATTCATTTGTTCATTCATTCATTTGTTCATTCATTCATTCATCCATTCATTTATTCATTTACTCTTTTACTCATTTATATATATATATAAACTTATTTATTATGTTATTTATTTATTTATTATCTATTTTTACATTTATTTATTTGTATCCATTGATCCATTTATCATACGAAAAAAAGGAAAAGGAAAGGCTGTCGAGCAATCGTTATTTCGTTGCTTTCCATTCCTCATTGTACGATCAGCTCGACTACTCCTCCTTCCCTTTTCTCGCTCGCATCTCCCCCTCCTTTTACTACCCATCTCTTTCGTAATTCATAGCTGAGTCTCTCGTAGAAGAATATGCATTCTGGAAAGTTGGTGGACCAACAGATATAACAAAAATAAGCAAAAAAATTACTTTATTTTATTGATTTCACAATGCAGCATATTCAAAGGATGTGTATAATTTCTTATACATATGATATTATATATATGTGTATATATAAGTATATACGTAAATATATGTATGTATATATTTATATGTATATATGCTTTCGAAAAACCTGGAAACTACCTGTTTCGATTAGGTGGGGCCAAATTTTTTTGGCAGGAATATCGCTTTTACTTCTCTTTAGCGGTTCTGCAACGAAAAGTTACAAATTTTGGAATAAATTCAAAATATTGATTCTGTTGGTTAACTAAATACATCAGACATAACTGCTGATTATTTGAGGAGGACTTTTAAGTTGGTTTTAGTTATGCCATTTCTATTTGTTTTATTTTCTTTCCGTTTTTTGCTCGTTGTATGCTTTTTTTTGTCTCTGTTTTTAGTTTGGTGAGGGGATACACTAATTGTTGGATTTTAGTCTTATTTTTTACGTTTTCTCGTTTTTTTTTTTTTTTTTTTTTTTTTTTTTTTT